CCCCTTATCTCTAGCCTCCCTGTACTCCGGTAAGATTTCCCCCCTTATCTCTAGCCTCCCTGTACTCCGGTAAGATTTCTCCCCTTATCTCTAGCCTCCCTGTACTCTGGTAAGCTTTCTCCTTATCTTTAGCATCCCTGTACTCCGGTAAGATTCCCCCCTACCTTGCAGTCACCAGGTCTAGAGAGTGCTGGCAAAAGTTTATCCAGGCCCCAAGTTCAAGAAATGATCTTTAGTCTAAAATTTTGTCTAAAATTTTGACTTAACCAATCAGAAATAACGCTATGAAAAGTGACGTCCTAAGTGATTGGCTAAGCAAAAAAACTAATTCTAAGATTGTTTCATGATCTTGGGGCCAGATCTAGAGATCCAGGCATTGGAACAAATTGTGTCAAATCCGTTAAGATCTATTTTGTTTTGGGTTTTAAGACCTTGCATCGGCTAAGGTCATTTGGAGCGCTTACATTGCACATTTTTCACTTTAAAGGCATCCTATATGAGGCTATCCATGACAAGCCGATATGTAAAAACTAGTTCGTATCAGAAAAATTACAGTATTACACAACAAAATGCACATATTTTCAGTAAAATTTACATTGAATATTATGTACATTCATAGAAATAACGTTCGTGCGTAGAATATTTCGACATGCCTGTATATGTTCAGAATCTTAGATTGGAACTGTGTGTAAAATATTGCTTGTATGCATCAATTTCAATGTTTATGTATAACGAGTAAGTTTGATAGTTAAGGTCTGAGTCCTACTGTTGGGTGTGCATCTAACGTCTGATTCTCGGGACAAAAATTTCCCAGACTTCCACAAAGCTCATCAAATATATATGACCAGAGAAAGTCTAACAGCATCCTGCAGATAAGATGGTAGATTTATATGTAACAATCTCACAAATCTTCTGGATTTTTGAAATGGAAGGGTTTGGTTCAAAGTCACAGAATTTTTATTTTCACTTTCAGTCTTGACGAAAAAATGACCTATTGATTATCATTGGTTTCAGATGCAGATATACAGAAAAGTAACACAAGTGTAGAGAAACAAAGGTGAGAAAACCTTCCAACTATAGGTAAATAATTTGGTCATAAATGGAGGCACGGTAGTCCAGTGGTAGTACGCCGGGCTCGTGATCGATGGGTTGCGAGTTCGAGTCACGGCACGGCATTGTGTTGTATCTTTGAGCAAGATACTTTACTCCGCTTGCTCCAGTCTACTCATCTGTAAATGAGTATATGGTTGGGCAGTGCTAGAATTGTTAAATGCTGGCTGTTAGCGCTGAAATGGGAGTTAAGAAAGATATTGGTTGGTTGCAAAGGTCCTATAACCACAGATATTAATTTGTGAACCGCTTTGAACCGACCTACAAACTAGGTTGTGATAAAGCGGTATATAAGAACCTCAAATTATTATTATTATTATCAGTAACACCGTTGTTTCCATATCAAAACTTGCTTTAGGTTCATCGGGGTTTGATATCGCTTGCTCATTGCAGCCGAACTGGACTGGGTCGGTGGTCGGCGACCAGGTAGCTCAATTGGTATAGCATCCGTCTAGAGATTTGAGGGTCCGGGTTTCAAACCCCGGTCTGGCTGTTGTATTTCTCTTTTTCCAGTTACAAAATTGGCGAGCTTACCATTTCTTGTTTCAAGTATTAGGTGAATGATAAGCAGGGGATTTTTTAACCTGGGTTATAAATACTTGCATCTTGAGGGGGTGGGGGTGGGTGGGCTTAAAACAAGGAGGGAGGGATGTAGCTGAACTGGACTGGGTCTGTCGTTGGTGACCAGATAGCTCAATTGGTAGAGCGTCCGTGTAGAATTTGGAGGGTCCAGAGTTGGAACACTGGTCTGGCTGTTGCATTTAATAATGATAATATTATACAACATTTGATATAGTGCCCTATCTAGGTAGAATAAGCCACTGTAAAGCGCTTTACAGTACATAGATGTACAATTTATACTATTAATACCCTTAGCATATACACTAATCAATACAATGATGAGGAATTCGCAGGAGCTGCCTTATCAGTCACTTACTACTAGCCCTATGCCACCTGACTAATATCTCCCTGTGTGTGTATGCCTGTGTGTGCGTTGGAGATGTATTGTGTTCCGTTTGTAGTGGGACCGTGCTTCCAACCATATAATTTATAGTGCCACCTCACTTGAATGCTACAGCACTGATATCGCAACAATCACCCTAGACCATTTTATACTCCACCTGTATTGGAGTTGTATTGGCAGGATAAAAACATTTTCTCTGAAAATTCCATGTGTACCACGACTTCGGGAATCAAACTCAGTATTAGTATCCACTACATATAAAGCCAAAAACTTTTGACTTACCAAAAGCTGATTTTTGTTCCCTGTACCCTTGATTTCTTTGTAGCTCCTTGGATAGCGGGTTTGTATCCCACTCAGCAGAGTCAGTGGCCATCTCTTTACTGAAGAAATTCACCGAGAAACAGTTGCCGAAGGCGTCCGACTTACAATGGCTTGTCCCTGAGTGCGACGCTCCACAAAAAGTGAGAATTACGATACATCATAGACTAGATTCTCAATGGTTCTGAACTTTGAGAACATTTTGGTTTTAAAATATCAGATTTCGGTTAGGAGTTAGAGTTCAAAGGTTAGGGGTTACAGATTAAGTGCAAAATATAAGTAAAATGTTATGTATTATGTGAAAAAACCCATCTCTTGAACTATTGCAGTTCATCTCCTTGTTTGAATTCTCTCATCACATAGATGTTTTTATTCGTTGAATTTAATATTTTGTTGGATCACATCAGACAGGGAATTTTGTCTAGAGCTTGTTTTTTTTAAAATACTAGGGTCAAAGATTTTTGTTAATCTTTGACCATAGTATTTTAAAAAAACAAGCTCTATATAAAATTTCCTGTCTGGTGTGATCCTGTAGTACACTAAGTGTACACTACACTTTTAAAAAAGCCTTGACAATGTTTAATTTAGTATCAAATGAAACAGATACAGCAGCTGTAGATATAAATGTTTTTGATGTTTGAGTGTCTAGGAGTGTATGGAGAGCCTGCAAGAACTTATTGTACTATGTATATACTTTATATAAACAAACATGCATCTATTTTGTTTCAGTTACTTCCCCTTCCAAATTCCTACCCCATATCACCAGATGATGGAGAGAATGCCGAACTTCTCAAGTCAAATTCATTGAAGGTAACAGCTATCTTTTGATGAGGACATTTTAAAATGTTCTTTCTTGAGGAGATTGGGGCATTGTTAACTGATGACAAGGAGACATATGAGAAAATAATGCTGAGATGTCTTTTTTTCTGAATAATTTTATTGCGATTTTGGTAATTCGTAGATAATGAAATGTCATCAGGTGACAAAGTGATGTTAGCATCAAAAGGCAGACACTTAAAAATATATATGAAGTTGAAACTTGAGGAAATTCCTTTGTTATTACATTATAAAAGAGATGGTGGTACAAGTTTTAACATACAGGCGCTTGCGTGGCGATATGATCAACGTGTTCCAGTTTATGAATGGGCTATATGATCCGAAATTGGTGGAGGGATTATTCGATCTCGCCGCTCAAGAAAAAACTTGTGGACACAGTAAAAAAAATCTCAAACAACATTGTCATTTAAATATTAGAAAACATCACTTTACTCAAAGAATAATTAATATCTGGAATAGTTTCCCACAAGATGTTATTTCATCTGGTAACGTATTTGACTTTGAGAAAAACTTCTGGAACGATCTTGAGTTGAAGTACGATCAAACAGCGCCTTATATATATGCTTATTTTATGTTTACCACAATGTATTTCAAATTATACTGATGTGGATATAGAGGCAGCAACGCCTGCATCCACTGATATCCTTTTAAATCCTATTAAAAGTTATCTCCTCTTAGTGTAGACAGGGGTATCCATAATTACTGTTGGGATCATATCCTTGAATCATCATACCCATAGCAAGCCTAAGGGTTTACAGTTTTAAGAATTTCCTCCCTCTGGTTGATATTTTCAAATCTTGCACCCAAATATGTATTTTTCTTTTGATGGTAATAAACAATGTTCCTTTGAACACATGTCTTTCAACATTACATGTAACTTTACTATCTAGAAATATATATTGTCAGTGAAATTGATGTACATATGTAGTGATGGTATTTCTGGGACCCACCTTGGGAGTAAGACAAAAAAAACTCAACCCAAGGGGTAAGATTCTTAAATGTCTAGCCTTAGGCTTTGTTGTCTTACTTCTAAAGTGGGTAATGATTGATTTTCTTCCACATCAAATACAAGTGGTATTTCTATGAAATACAAACGTAGATTTCAGAACTTCCAGAAAGTCGGAACTCTCTGCCGAGATCTGCTATTATTGATGTGACATCATTGCATTGTTGATGTGATGTCAAAGCTTTGTTGACATGACGTCATACAATTGTTATAACAGGGGAATCCCCCCCTGTCCTTACCCTAGGTTAAAACAGAAATATCTCTTACCCTGGACAGGTGTATCCACACTTTACCAGTGTGAGATATCCTTGTCTCACCCTAGGGTTGAGACGGGGGATTCCCCTATTCATAACAACAGTATGACGTCACACCAATAACGTCACAACAACCCTGAACTTAACCTGTAACATTAACATTACAATATGTATATGCTAAACAATGGGAGAACAGGGAAAGAGAAAAAGAATCTCTCACCCCCTTGAGGGTGAAAAAGGGGAACCTCAACCCTCGGGGAAAGATTCCCCTTTCTCACCCCCAAGGGGTGAGAGATTCTATTAATCTTTCCCTGACCAGAAGTTTGGATATCTCTGTCTAAAAGGGAGAACATGCTATTGAACAGTAGTAAGATTAACTGTCATTTCCTTGTTTCAGACGAGGCTGCGTGGTAACTTAGAGTGGGCCCCTCCCCGACCACAGATAATTTTCAATATCCATCCAGCACCAAAGTAAGTGACACAAAGTTTCCTGTTCTTCAGTCAGTGAACCGGATCTATAGATCATTACATGGGGAAGTAACATAAAGAGTCAATGCAGTGTAGAAACCAGATCTTTCTTAATATTGTAGCGGAACTAGACTTGGCCAATCGTCGGCAACTAGGTAGCGCCCGTCTAGAGTTTGGAGGGTCTGGGATTCGAACCCCAGTCTGGCCATGCATTTTACCACTCTTGTTGCAATGTTATCAAAGCAGTATTTGCTGTTGTAATTTTAATCATAATACAATCAAATAATGGAAGGCCTTGGGGTGTTTAGGGTAATTTCACCACTCCACACCGATTTAGAATTAAATGTTATATTCATGATGTAGGATAAATATGGAATTTCAAATGTATTTGACATTCGCATGTACAATGAAAAAAGATTTTGTTTTAAAACTATTTAGGAGCATAAAGATAATTTTAGTTATCATAATGGACAGTTGTATGATAGAAAACATCACTGCATGATGTATGAACTATTCTATTACTTTCCATATTGTTTACTACATACAAGTGTGTATATATTACAAAAGAAGAGGTTCGCCTTGTTGTGATAATTTCTACTAGGCATAGATCATGATCACTCGTTGGTCCACTTTACAATCTTCAAAACCTGGAATATTTTCTTTGCCTATGTCTTTTGATTAATTATTGAGTATTGAAGATAACAATTACGAATGAACATTTAGATAATGATTACAAATGAACATTTTTACAGAAGAAGTACCATAATGGCAAAACAAAGTTACATGTGTGCAGGGTGTGGGATGCGGGTAGAGCAAGGTGAGTTTATCACAGTTTGTACAGAGATAATTCAACTGTTTCCATTCATATGAACTTTCTATCAAAACTTTGTGTTCCATATTTGCTCTTTGAAGCATTTATCTATTAACACTGGGCTTTTGTCAGAGCTTCTGACAAAACTTGAACCCCCAATAGTAATGGGTTTGAATTCCTAGTATTGGAAGAGACTTGTGTCGGACATCTAAACAAATATTAAAATAATGGTAAAAATGAGAAAGCAAGCTGAGGAAGCTATCATTTGTCCCATCAAATAGTGCTAAGTGACTATGTAAATTGAATAAAATAAAAGCAGTTTGAGAGATGAGTTGGGGGGGGGGGGAGATAAAAAAATATTGGTAATGTAAATACCAGGTAAACAATATTTCATTTCCAGTTATTAAGATATCTTTCTTAATTTGTAGATCAAAAGTCTGAAGCTGAAGTTTCCTACATATGTAAAAATGTATTCTGTCCCTCTGTTTCGCATCCTTGATACTACAGGGGTTACGCTCACTTTTGCTTTCTGCACCCCTGGAACATGTCAAAGCAAAATTGAAGGCACACGGCTAGCTATTTGATTGGACTCGGGTAAAAATATCCTGACCAATTGCTAGGCTGATAGCTGTCCTTTACAGGTTACAGAGGAGCGACACCCAACTTCAAAGCCAGTCAATTTTGCCGTTACTCGACCAAGAGATTCTTTTGATGTACATAAGAGGATCAAACTAGTCTTCTCATCTCATCCACAATGTGGCGCACACTGAGCCTTCGATTGTTCAAGGGGGGGCAGAGAGTGAAAGTGAACGTAACCCCTGGAGTATCAAGGATATCTGTATTGATACAAAATCAGTAACTGATTTCTTGTTGAATTTCAGGATACATAAGAAGATTCCGCTATTGCGAATATCTTGGAAAGTACTTCTGTCAGTGTTGTCATAGTAACAGTTTATCATACATACCAGGAAGGATATTAAGACGATGGGACTTCAAAAAATATTACGTTTCTAATTTTTCCCGGGATTTGATTTCACGAATAATTGGTGATCCATTGTTTAATCTGACTGACATAAATTCTAGTCTGTATCGCCGAGTCCGCGCCTTGGACAATATTAAAGACTTAAGAACCCAGCTGACACATTTGAAAAATTTCCTAAGGATTTGTAAAAGTGCTTCCAAGTAAGTTTATGAGAGTATACAAAGCATTAGAATGAGTCTTTTTGGAGTACTAAATACATGTATTTTTCATGTATCATTTTTTTAATGAAATCTCCTGCACTTCTTTAAAAACCACCCAGTCATGTCCTAGAACTTTCACTGATATAGTCATTTTAATGAAATTGTACATGTACATTTCCTCCATCATATAAAATGTTCTGTGTTTTACATCTAATTAAGTTATATTTATGTATTGTTTGAACTCAATAGAATTTTTCATTTACATGTATCTGTGTAACGTTTGAAAATATGTCACCTTTAAATCTGTTGAAACAAAAATAAAAATAAAAAATTAGGAAGGAAAAGAAATTTGGTTTTTAGTTTTTCCCATGTGGTAAGATTTCAGTAGTGACGCGAAATTAATTCCAAGAAGGCAACTACATGTATAAATCATTTCTTACACTGCCTTTCCTGTTTTCTAGTGTGCTGGGTGAGGTAGAACAACTTCAAGGTCATTGGACAGATGATATTCACCTTTACTCTCTATCTGACCTCGTACAGGTAAGTGGTGAGATGGCCTAATATGTTTAAGTTGTGATATATCAATTATGTAAATGTCTAATTCACAGTTCATCTTAATTAGGGCCCCGTATCGGAGATACGGATGCCCTATAGTAATCAGTCTGTCTGTCTGTCTGTCCGTCCACAAATTTTGTTCCTGGCTGATAACTTTAGTATTTATTGACCGATGTACATGAAACTTGGTCAAGATGTTCAGTTTACAAAAATATACATTGAGGTAAAAAGTCAAGGTCAAAGGTTAAGGTCATTAGGTTAAAAGGTCAAGGTCAAATTTTACCTCTTTTCACTGATGAACATTTTGTTATGACATTATGAAGCAAAGTTGATCAGAATTAAACAAGGAGTCAACTGACCAAAGGTCAAGGTCATTGGGTCAGGGGTCAAGGTCAAATTTTGTACCTTTTCCCTGATGAACATTTTGTTATGTTATTATGAAACAATGTTGTTCAGAACTTAACACAGAGTCAACTGACCTTAGGTCCAGGTTACGGGGTTCAAAGGGTCAAGATCAAGTTTTGTATTTTTTACTGATTCACATTTTCTTATGATAATAAGAAGCAAAGTTGGTCGGAATTAAAGAATAAGTCAACTGACCAAAGATCAGGGTCACTGGGTTAATGGTCAAGGTCATTTGGGTCCAAAGGTCAAAGACAAAGTGGATCGCTGACTTTGACCCTGGCTCTTGATGGAGGAGGTATATAAGGTGAAATAAAACAAATCAAAGCTAACAAATGAGTATTGCACCGGCATATGGAGGTGGAAGGAAACAAGACTCACATCATAGTACATGTAAAATGTATATTTTGCTTCCTTGCGATTCTTTTTGAAGTCCAAATGTCAAACGTCAAGCTCAGCTATATGGGCAGATTGCTTCTTGATGATTATGGGGGATATATTGCCACAAGACGGGGCCCTTACTGACCTGTCAGTGTTCTAGTTAATTTTAAGTTGTGTAATGAAACTTGATAATCTGACATACTTCGATTCTCTTCTTTAAAATCAGGTATTTATGATAAACAAGCATGTAGTGTCAGAACCTTTCAAAATACGGTATCAAAAAGTTTAGATTAATATAATCTTCCCCGAGGGTTGGAGATTTCTCTGTTACACCTTCAAGGTAGGGCATGATTATTTTTCTCCCATCCTTTTATTTCAGTCACAGCTCCATTGACAGTAGTCTGCCATGTTTGTAAACAAAAACACATGTGGGGTATGCATATCGTCATTCACTTTTGATGACGCATTTAAATGACGTCACAATTGAACATGTGCTAATCGGCATGAGGCTATCTCCCCCTAGGGGGTGACAAGCTGATCTTTCCCAGCCAAAACAGGAGACACACCTGTGAAGGGTGGGAGAAATTAGTTTCTGATTTTCGGAATCAGGATTTGTTTATTTTAATGTTTTTAATTATAGTTGACTGGTTAACACAGAAATAAACATTATTTCTCCAGTGAAATAACTTTGAAATATGGCCATATGTGTAGACGTTTCAGTTCTGTATGATAATGTTGACTTGTAGAAGACCCCTTTTCACTTGTAGGTGAAATCTGGTGAGATGCTGACTCAATTGAGAAACATTGTGAACATCTCCATGGTCCACGTCCAAGACTGTCCGGTAAGTAACCATGGAACGATTGAAATGCATCTTTTTCAACACCTATGATGGTATGAAACACAGTTCTGTTCAAATACATTCCATCATGCATATAAGTGCATCTTGGAGAATCGCACCTCATGGAATGTGTTTGAACAGAACTGTTTCATATCGTCATAAATGTTAAAAGCTATGCTTGAATCCTTTAAATTGACATTCAAGACAGCAAGGAAAATATCATTTAGTCATTCTTTGAAGTTCTATTCAGTTCAAAATACATTTTAAACAAACTGTTTTAGCAATTGACGGAATAGCAATTTTTGTGAGAACAAGACTATATGCATTCTATTCTGTTCCGGCAGACGGAAAAAGTAAATAGGAAATCATTTGGGAATTTTTGTCAAAATGTGAATTTGAAATTGTAGCATGATTGGTTCTCGATTACTCAACTGAATATTGCGGTCAAAGGTCAAGGTCACTTTAAAAGCACTGTTCCATACACCTAATAGAGTGTTTATTTAGGACCATGAAACTAAACATATTATTTACTTACTTTAAACCATCTGTTAAGGATCCCCGTACCACTGCCAAAAACTGTAATTATGCATCGGATTTCTTTTTTCAGGCATGACTTAAGTTTTGACAAATTATTTCTGAAAAGAAAACCATACCTTGCTGGGCTTTTATGAGAAATAATAAGGATGAAATAAACTATGTACAATCAAAAACAGTGTTTTGAGTGTAAAAATTCAATGGGGCTAGACTGGGATTCGAACCCTGGACTTCAGATTCTTAAAATATTGCTCTAACAGATAGAGCTACCAGCTGGTCAACAGAAGTGTTGCGGTCCTACTGTTCTACAGTTATATCCAAACGGAAGTTAAGGGGAGGTTACTGTATATCAGAAATCACAGTGGAGTGGAACAGGTATCCTAATATATTAAAAAATAATAACAGTCATGTTGATTTTATATTTTCCTTTTTTTTTTTAGTTTTGTCAAGGCCTGGGTTTTTTCTGTGAGATGTGCCATGATAAAGAAGTGATATTTCCATTTGAGCTACAAAAAGTCACAGTGTGTCCAGGTAAAGTCATTTTGTGAATTATTTAAATATGGGCCTCTGTCAGGTACATTTTGTCACTGTATGTTTAGTAAGTAGAAATACTTGTTTTATGAAATACCTTAATCCAGGCCACTGTTTGGTATGTATTGTCACAGTATGTACAGATAAAGAGAAATGCTCTTCCGACCTATGATTTATTTTAATCCAGGCTACTTTCTTGTACATTTTGTAATCAAATTTAGATAAAAAGAAAAGGAAAACCCCCCAGATATATATGATAATGCTGGTAGTAATATATGTGAACTGTGACACGGAGTAAGAGGCATTGGAAGTGATGCATATTATATGGTAAGCATACTGTATACAGGGAAATTTTCGTCACACGTTGATATCTGCCTTTTTCACCCTCTGTTTTGAGGGTGCATTTATCATTTCGGCAAAATTGAATTTCAATGGCGTAAGGCGAAAATTTGACTGGGCCAAAGTTTTCCAGTTTTACTTTACTGCTGCGGGGGACAGAATTCTAGCACTTAATTTAGTTTTATTCCTGCCAAAGGCAGAGGATGCTAGCACTGAGTAGAAGGAAGATTATAAGACTTTTTCATGCCCAGGGATGTAGGATAGGGAAATAATTCCACCCAAGGTTTTTTTCAAATTTGGAAAAACCTGAGGCTTTGCCAAGGGATTAGCCAAATTCGAAAAAAATTCTTAGGGTGGATTTCTTTATCTCACACCCCTCATATCTGGTCATGTAAGATAACGCTGGCCATGTAAGATAACCACGCTTGCTGAGTCTATCTTACATGGGCGGGAATTTGGAAAACACAGATTCCGCAATGCAGAAAAGGCAACATGATGAAATTAAACCCTTCAAGATATATTTACAGTACATGTTAGAAAGATGAGATTATTTTTTCTGTACAAACTCTGTTTGCAAAAATGGGGTATTCTAAATCTCACTGACAAATTCCTTTTTGTCAAAAAAGCTCTGGGGAAAAAATTGATAACCCCTCGGGTGGAATTTCTCTATCAAGCCGAGGGTTTTGCCAAATTTGAAAATCCCTCCGGTGGAATTTTCTCTAACCTACACCCCTGGACATGAAAGAGTCTTATAATCTTACACACATGGAAATGAGAGAAAAAATTAGGAGACTGTTGAAATTGCTTATATTTATAAGGTTTTAACTGATATTCTTTTTGTAATGTTTGGAGATTTTGATTGGTAAGTAATATATAGTTTGACATGGCAAGAAATTGTTGAATTACATTTACATTTGCATTTAAAACATCACTGGTCACAAAACAGATGTTATGCTTTTGTCAAACATGTAACTATTCAGTATTTTATTAAATCATATCTTTTCCAGGTTGCAGGGCATGCTACCACAAGCAATGTTTTGTTCCTGACAAATGTCCAAAATGTGCAAGAATTGAAGCAAGGTATGACTACATAGGGATAAAAAAGTTGTTTCGTAGTATATATGACTTTTTCAGAAATTCTGACACAAAAACAAAAAGCATTTTATTTTTATAGAAGTGGTGTTCATTCAATAGTCTTTTATCGAAAAGAAATTCATAACTTTTTGAAAAAAAGTGAATGCCAATCCATTTGAATTTATTTTTTAATATTTTTAGGCGACTGAGATTGGCAAAAGATGCTTCGACTGATATAGAAGAAATGGATGAGCAAGATGAAATTGATGATGGATGATATTGTTATCGAGTTTGACGATGGTGTGAATTTGAGCAAAACAATTTGTGATATTAACTGTGATATTATGCTGAATGAGAATGAATTAACAGATTGTCAAAATATTTATTTGGGTGTTCATGTATGAAGGAATATAGATAGCAATAGGTCCATTTAGCTTTACATATTATGATCCTATTTCAGTTTTCAATCCTTTTTATTAAAGCACGTATCACATGATGAGGGACACATATATATTAAAAGCATTTTGACATGTTTGTAAAATAAACGTGTTTGTCTTTGAATGCAGCTAGCATCCAATAGGCAACTTAGTAGAAATGTGAAAGCATGGCAATTATTTATATACATTTTCTTCAGGTTGGTAAGTAAGGATTATGAAAAGGTTCTTGTAACACAACCAATAAATGTTTCTATGTGACGTTTTCGATGACTAGTATATGGTATGTACACTGTCACCTTCATCAGACAAAGTAAATTGTGTACTCCTTGTCAACAAATCGATGTGGACTTGGCTACGGTGTAAGCGTATGTGCAATTAGTGATTATATATGTACCAAAATGACTCCATTCAGCTATGCTTTGTTTAATACTTGGTCATAGATGTGCGAGAGTCTATGAGCCCCCTCATCTCAATTTAGAACTGGCAATTATGTATCCTTGTTCACCTGAAACTGATCATCTTCTGGAATGTTTGTTTACAGTTACTTATTTGCAGAAATATACTACCATGTAAAGTGAAAATTAATTATTTACATATTGTTGTGAACCAAAATGTCAGGATAAAAAAAACACATTTTGGTCAAGAAATTATCAAAAGTAATGTTCATATTCATCCAGCATCTACCAGCTTTTATCAACAAAATATTCATATTTTATTTTTGACAGTTCCTGATAAGGGAAGGGTGCCAATTTGACCTCCCTTATTTCAACATAAGAGCAATAGTTATATTTCCAATATAAAGTTTTGAACTTTCCATGAATTCTTCATGTGAAATCAAATTCAAAAGATGGTGCCAACAAAATAACCCCAACCTCAGTTTTGAGTCATTTGTAAGAATGGGTCTCAAAGCTAACATGTTAGTCCAAGCAACGTTCACCTCTCACTCTGTTTATTGGTTTCTTTGTTTGAATACACTTCAATTCTCAGGTAGTTCTTGGGTCACCTTTTGTTTTTACCAAAACTTGATGATGAGTTTACCTTGCATATCATTGTGTTCACCTATTATACCCGCAAACAAAGTCTTTGGGGTGTATAGGAATATCTGTCTGTCTGACTGCATGCTAGCTGTCTGTGGTCCTTTTAAGTGCTACTTTACCTGAACAGGATGTTAGATTTTTTTGTAACTTAACGCAATGAAAGTGCATTGTATGTAGATGTGAATGAAGAAAGGAATTGGGGTTTTGACTATTTTTATACACCCGTCGAAGACGGGGACGTATTATGTTATCACATATTATTATGTTATGGCGGGCGGGCGGGCGG